AAGTACAAATGCTCCGAGCACTGGCCCTGCTGAGGCGGATACCTTGGCGCCAAGGGAACCAGACCGAGCCGAGGAGCAGCAATCGGAGTTGGCACAGAATACGCTTGCCGATGCTACGGCTCGTGGGAAAGCCATAGTGGTCGCGAAGACTACTATCTCCGGCCCAGCGCCGCCCCCTGAACAAGAGGCCGAAGAGGACGAAAAAATGAGATCCTAGGCTGTCCCAAAGACAAACGACAACATGTATATGTGTCGCGCAGGCGGAACGACGAGTGGGTTATGCATGAAGAAATCCCCGAGATCGAAGAGACCCAAAAAGTTGAACGAGCGGCAAAGCGTTTGGTGACAGAAGTCCAGGTATGTTTGGCTTGACCACTTGACCATGTAATGTAGTCAAACTGTCTGACTTAGCTTGTTTATATGCAGGACTTGATGAAGACCGCAAAGTACCGAAAGAGGTGCTTCGACCAGATTGAGGGAATCACGGCGAGCAATAGAGAACTGGCGGCCGAGGTGGAACGCTTGCGCCGCCGACCAGGAGAGGACAGAGCAAGAAGCATAGAACCAGCACCTGGTCGGCCAGCTCAATGACAAAGAGCGTCAAAAACAAGTAAGTTGTCATTTTATCACATCAAGTGTATGACACATGTTGTTGCGTTGTTGGTAATGACAGCTGTAATGCAGGCTTAGAAGCTGAGGTAACCCGCCTCCAAGAGGAGAATAGCCGCGTGACCGCAGAGTGTGGTCACCTGAAGGAGGACAACGAGAAACTAGCGCAGCCCGGTCTCAACTCGAGGACCACACCACCAAAATGAAGGAGGCTGAAGAGTAAGTATTCTAGGCCACCGTTCTCATTACATTGCCGCCTTGACTTGTCGTGCCTTTACATTTGATGTCTTGTACGGTGTGCAGTTTTAAAAGCCAATGCCAAGAGGCATCTAGAAGCCGTGATGAAAGAGCGTGATGGCTGGAAAGCACGATGCCTCGAGGCCATCGAGGATCGGGACACATGGAAGAACCGGTGCCAGGAAGTGGCAACTGGCATTTTGCCCATCCTCGACCTTGTCGACCCGGCGCTCACAGAGGAAGAGCCAAGGACCCCCCAGCTCGGACTGGTCGAGAGATGTAGACAAGCATGGGGATGGTTCCAGGAGTTCATGAAGGAGGCGGGTGAGTACACGGGTGCCCATGTGCTAAGCATGGTGCATGCCCACTACCCTCTGATTGATCTCAAGCACTGGAAATTTGGATACCCGAAGGAGGTAGACCCCAGACAAAGGCGGAGGAGCTTTGGTGGCCCAATTTGGACACTGTCGTCAAAGATAATTGGCGACATAACACTGTGTGGAGGTGGGACAAGACACTGACAGAGTCACGCCATCGACAAGTCAACTGGAAACGCCATCTGTTGCTAGCCAACCGATGAAGCCTGCGGTCTCGACCAGCCAGGCATCGGCGGTGCCATCCCCTTCAGCTCGACTAGCACAAGAGTCCCCGAGACTCGAGTAGGATATCGAAAGCAGCGAGCAATAGGTGCCGCGCGCCCCGACCAGCCAATGTAATAGGCTTAGAGCTATAGAAGGAGGACATAGTTGTGTTATTGTAAACTTGGGCCTCTTCAGGCAAGCTTGTAATAACGTAACTGTATATCATTATAAGCTTGTTTGCTTTGTATAAAGCATATTTAAGCTTGAAACTTATGTTGGTGGAACTAAGTGAGAACATAATAACGTTCTGTTTAGTTGTACCATTTTGCTCGACACATCATCCTGAAAAGTTTGTGCGGCCCTAGTTTGCCATGTGGTCGGAGTGTGAGGTGCATGACCTGTGCACACGCAGACTTGACGGACAAGTCAAACCAAGGGGACACTGCCGATCACCCATAGCGTGAGAGAGCGGATCCCATGCACGTGTTGGGAGGAACCGGAGATAGGTCCTGCTCCGAAAACCGTAGAAGGAGTGGTGGTCGGCTTTTATTGGCTAAGTTAGAATAACCATAAAAGTCGAAGTGACACATTAGAGTGGTCGGAGAAATAATAATAGCTTTATTGAAGTAGATCGAAAATACAAGAGGGGTACATATCTCAGTGGTTAAGCATAGAAACGTCTAAGCTTGTCGATGTGCCACGAGTTTGGTACGTCCGTATTGTCCAGGTGAGCTAACCTGTAAGACGTTGGTCGTGTGACCTCCTTGATCATGAAGGGCCCCTCCCATGGGGTTGCGAGTTTATGGACACCAGCCTGGTTCGTCTTCCACTTCAGGACTAGGTCCCCGACCACAAAAAACCGCTCTTTAACGTTCTTGTTGTAGTACCTGCGCAAAACAGCAAGGTATTTGGCCGTACGTACACAAGAATCGAGCCGCTTCTCTTCTGCGCTATTCACTTCTAGCTCCCGTACTTCATTGGCCTTGCCTTCATCGAAGTTCTCTACCCATGCTGATCTAAAAGCTATATCTGCAGGGAGGACCGCCTCGGTATATATAAACCATAAAGTATGGCGAGACGCCGGGTGTTATTACTGGTTGAAATTTGAGTTCGAGTCCCCAGACCATGGTGGTAACTCTTTGAGCCATCTTTCAGGAGCCTTGTCATTTTCTCTATACACCCTCTTCTTCAACGCATCCAAGATCATGCCATTTGCCCGCTCGACCTATCCATTAGCTCTAGGGTGCGCCACCGAGACGTATTTTACTACTATGCTCCTTTCATCGCAGAAGTCCCAAAAAGCGTTCCGGTGAACCGAGTACCAGATCGGTGATGATCTTTGTTTGGTATGCCAAAACGATGGATGACCTGGTCGAGGAACGTGATAGCCTTTTACGAGGATGCTCGTACCAAAGGCATGTATTCTATCCACTTAGAAAATTTGTCGATCAAGCACAAAGACGCATGTAAATTTCCACGGAGCCGGTTTGAAGGGCCGATCATATCCGATCCCCGACAGATGCGAAGGGCGGGGAGGTGGTATTGTGTCGGATCTCATGTCTTTGATACGTGGATTCTCTTGGCGAAGAACCGACAACCCTCATAGCGGCGGACTAGCTTCTGCGTCGGATCATCGTGAGGCGGCCAATAGAACCCTGCTCGAAAAGCCTTGCCGACCAGCGTTCTTGAGGCCGCGTGGTTGCCGTAGGAGCCAGAGTGGATTTGGTCCAGGAGATGTTCGCCATCCTTCTGGGTTATACACTTCATCAAGATTTCCTCTTTTGCGTTCTTGCGCCATAGCTTGCCATCAACGAGCAGGTACTGCTTACTGCGACGCATCAGGCGCTCGTTCTCTGTCCGATCAGTGTAACCGCTGCCATCTGTTAGGTACTTGATGAAAGGTATTCTTCAGTCAGGCTCATGAGTGGTCGGAGGGAGCTCGGCGGTGCTTGACGCCGGAACCGTAGCCACCAATTGCTGGTCTGGAGGCTTGTCTGCCGTGGAATCTCTCTTCGATGGACGGCGTGAGCAAGTCTTGGACGAATACGCCATGTGGGATTTTTGCTCGGGATGATCCTAACTTTGACAGTGCATCCGCTGCTTGATTCTTGTCCCGGACCACGTGTATGTACTCGATGCCATAGAACCTGTCTTCCAGCTTTCTGATCAAATTGCAGTATGCATCCATCTTTTCGTTGGTTGTGTCCCAGTCTTTGTTGAGTTGGTTGATGACCAGAGCAGAGTCTCCATAGACGTAGAGACGTTTAACGCCAAGCTCAACCGCAATGCGCAAACCATGTAGGCATGCTTCGTACTCGGCGGCATTATTAGATGCTGGGAAATAAATCATGAGGACGTACCGGAGCTGCTCCTTGGATGGTGATATGAAAAGGACTCCTGCTCCCGCACCGTCAATGTTGAGAGAGCCGTCGAAGTACATCGTCCAATATTCATCGGATCCGGGAGAGGTAGGCGTGCTTAAGTCTGTCCACTCGACGATGAAATCGACAAGTGCCTGAGACTTGATTGTAGCGCGGCTTGCAAATTCCAAGGAAAAGGGGCATAGCTCCATTGCCCATTTGACGATGCGCCCGTTCGCATCCTTGTTGCTAATGATGTCTCGCAGAGGGTACTCAGTCACGACCACCACACGATATCCGTCGAAGTAGTGTTTCAACTTTCGGGATGTTATCAGTATGGCGTAGATCAACTTCTGAATCTGTGGGTATCTGATCTTGGACTCGTTGAGTACCTCACTAATGAAATAGATTGGCCGCTGTACCTTGTAGACGTGGCCGGGCTCGTCTCGCTCGACCACCATGGCCGTGGAGACCACTCGATTAGTAGCCGCAATGTATAGCAGGAGTATTTCGTCTTCTCTTGGAGCAGTGAGTACCGGAGGTGACGTAAGGTATTGTTTCAGCTGTGTGAAGGCAACATCTGCTTCCTCCGACCACTCAAACTTTTCGGACACTTTGAGTAGTTTAAAGAACGGTAATCCTTTTTGGCCTAATCTTGATATGAAACGGCTGAGGGCGGTCATGCATCCGGTAAGCTTCTGAACATCCTTCACCTTTTTGGGCGGCTTCATGTCCAAGACAGCTTTGACTTTTTCTGGGTTAGGGCGTATGCCGTCGTGACTGACGACGTTGCCGAGGAGTATGCCAGAAGGAACACCAAAGATGCACTTTTTTGGGTTTAACTTCCACTGGAATGTATTAAGGGCTGCAAAAGTGCGTCCCAGGTTGTCAACAAGGGTATGAGCTTCCTTGGTTTTGACAACTATATCATCAACATAAGCCTCGACGAGGTCATCTTTTATCTCGTCTTTGAGGCAAGCTTGTATAGCGCGTTGGTAGGTAGCCCCGGCAAGCATTGTGCTTGCAAACAATAATTATTTGACACTTATCTAAGAAAACTTTTCTTTGACACTCTTATATAGGAAGAAAAACAAATCTGAGCATATTATGGTTTCATTTATTTCAGATACATCTACAACAGATCATGGTCGTCTACCTCCACCGGCAAGCATTGCGCTTGCAAACAATAATTATTCAATCGTTCGATGACAAGCTAGCAGGAAAACTTGTGGTATGAATCTCTGATGGTGTGCATCTCTGCTGCTGCATCGCTCATTGCTGTTCGATCCCCTGGACGTAGCTTTGAGCATGATATAGCAAGCTTGATGACAGAAACCAAGCAATCCTTAATTCTGCTCCTTATATTGCTATCTGTTGACTCTATATGCAGCCAGATTGTCGAATCAACAATATCCAAGATGCTTTTGCTGAGCGCATGCTTGGCGTACCTATGTAGATCTAACATGTCTCCGAACATGTCATCTGTGGGGCTCCTTCCAGTAAACATCTCAAGCAATAATATACCGAGACTATACACATCACCAATAGTTGAGACTGCAGAGCCTTCGCCATACTCTAAAAGAAGAAATCAGCAAACATACATGATCAGTGATCATAAATTTCATATGTGGTGTGGAGCATGTTACAAGGAGACGCCAAAAGAATTTCAGTTACCTGGAGCAACATAACCAATGGAGCCTTTTATTCCAATCGTGCTATTTGAATTTTGCAGGATTGTACTTGCATTTTCTGGAAGGATTCGTGATATGCCAAAGTCTCCAACTCGGGCCCTCATGTCTTCAGCAAGAAGGATGTTGTTTGGCTTGAGATCACAATGAGCGATTGGTGGCTGACAGTGGTTATGAAGATAGTCCAAAGCATCCATGATATCCACAGCAATGTCTAGCCTTTGTTCTAGGCTTAGAGTATTTCTCACAGTGAGAGTGTTAGAATTCGGATGAAGCCAACCATGTAAGCTACCATTTGGCATGAACTCGAAAACTAGTGCCTTAAATTCTCGACCTTGGTGATTCATGCTTGAGCAGCACGTGATGATCTTAATGAGACAACGGTGACGTACCCTTCTCAACGCCTCGCATTCTGCCACAAAACTTTTAGTGGATCCAGATTGTTGAAGGTTAAAAACTTTCACTGCCGTAATTGTTTCCTCAGGCTGTAAAGTGCATTTGTAGACCGCCCCAAAGCTTCCTTTACCAAGCAAATTGGCTTCTGAAAATCCATTTGTTCCATTTGTTAATGCATGGTAAGAAACTCTTTCATATTGTTCCTCAACTATTGGTGATAAGGGTTGGTTACGATTTCGTTTAAGCTTGTTCTTGATAAGCTGAAGGAGTGCAATAAAGAAAGCTAATGTCAAGAGTGCACCAATTGTTGCTAGAGCTATTTTAAGATGCTTCAGCTGCCCTTTTCTGTTCTTTTTCATGGGACTTGTCTGGCATGGAACTAAATGAAGTTGAGGTAATCCACCACAAAGCTCACTGTTTTCAATGATTGAAAAGTTAGTGAAATATCGGAAGATACCCTCCTTTGGCACCTCCCCTTGCAGATTGTTGAATGACAGATCCAATTCCGACAATGCTGTCAAATTCTGTAGAAGTGGAGGGATTGGCCCTGATAAGTTGTTGTGTGCCAGACACAACACTTCAAGATCTCGGATAGTTCCAATGTTACTTGGGATGGCACCAGATAATTTGTTCATGGATAAATTGAGTGCAGTTAGCCCTTTTAAGTTACTCAGAGTTTGAGGTATGCTTCCATCGAATGAGTTATCATCCAATCCAAGGTATAGCAGCACAGTGCATCCCCCAATACTACCAGGTATCTCACCAGACAATTGGTTTCTAGATAGAACTAGTACTCCAAGGTTTCCCAAACTACCAATTTCCGAAGGAAGGTGTCCCGATAGTGAATTGTATGATAAATTTAAGAAGGAAAGGGATGGCAGTTTGACAATCTCATTGGGAATTGAACCGTTAAGGAAGTTGTTTGATATATCAAGATAAACTAGATTCGTAATATTCCCTATGCTTGCTGGAATTGGTCCCCCCAGTTTGCAACGATGTGCAATAAGCGTATTTAACCGTGTAAGATTTCCAATAGATAAAGGTATGATGCCCGACAAGTAAGTATTGAACAAATATACTATACCCAAGTTTCGCAGCCTGCCAATGCTCTCTGGAATCACTCCTGAGACGAAAGTACGTGACAGACCCAGGAACTCAAGGTTGAGAAGATTGCTGATGGCTGATGGTATGCTTCCTGAGATCCCAGATCCGTCGAAGTTGAGGATTCGTAGGCTAGATAGATTCACTATTGCACTTGGCAGCTGCCCAGTCAAAGCGGCATTGCCGATTTCAAATTCCGTTAGCTGGGTGCAGTTTGACAGGGATGTGATGAATTCCCAGCCCTCCTTGTCATCTGCTTGTAGCAGGTTTCTGTACAATAATAGGCTTTGTAGAGCTCCCAATCTTCCAATTTCACTAGGCACATATCCACGGATCCTATTTTCTGAGAGGTCAAGTAGCTGCAGAGCAGTGAGGTTGGAGAGTGAAACAGGGATGGATCCGGTGAACTGGTTAGCGTAAAAACTAAGAATCTGTATGCTGTGGAGCTTGCTGCCTATGACATCAGGAATTCTGCCGTGGAGCATGTTTTCTTGGATCTGAAACCATTCCAGTGAGGATAAGTTGTACAAGGAATGTGGGGGTTCGCCAGAGAGGTGGTTGTTGTTGAGGTCGAGGTGCTGGAGGGCCTGGATGCCGCCGAGGCCAGGAGGAATAGCGCCGTGGAGCTGGTTGAACGCAAGAGACAGGATGCTAAGCGACGACAGGTTGGCCAGTGACGCCGGGATGGTGCCGGTGAGGCTGTTGTTCGTTAGGCTGAGCACTCTGAGATTCACCAATTTCTCACCGAGCTCGTAGGGGACGAACCCGTCGAGCTGGTTGAAGCGGAGGCGCATAAGCACTAGGTTGGTACAGGAACTCAGGTTGGCGGGGATCTTGCCTGAGAAGCTGTTGTTGCTCAGGTCGAGGGCTTGCAGGCGGCGGAGGCGTCCGAGGCTGTCGGGGATGCCCCCGCTGAATGCGTTGGAGCTGAGGTCCAGAGTCCTGAGGAACGACAGGTTCCCAACGGCAGGCGAGAGGGCTCCACTCAGCCCCCCGTGCAAGCTCAGCGCCACAACTCGGCGGTGCCTGCCCCCGCACGTCACCCCCACCCAGCCGCAGAATCCGCCGGCGCTGCTACTGTTCCACGACGCGAGGGTGTCGCCATTGCTGCCGCCAGCGATCGCCGCTGCCTTGAAGGCAATCAGCGCGGCCTCGTCGTCGGCTCCTGCGGCGGCCACCACGAGCGTCAGCAAGAACAGCAGGCTCACCGAGCGTGGTGCCATGCCTCCTTGGGTGCGCACTGCGCAGCGGGCAGTGCGGGAAACCACGTGTGATTTTGGTCTCTGATCTTTTGGCAAGTGCTGTAGAGCGTACAGCAGAATAAGATGGCAAAGTGATGCAGAAGCACTCGTCGTGCCATCCCTGGTTGAAGTTACTGGGGAGTAAGTCAGGGGCAGGGAACCGACGGCTTAGGCCGCTTATGCAGGGCGAACCCATCGACCAGAGCGATTCTAGTCGGTTTCCTTTAGGATAGGGCCCGCTCACTGAAGATCCGCCGGAAGAGGTCCACGTGCAGCTTCATCCCGAGGAAAGCCTCGCAGACAGTGATGAAGCCGCCGATGTGCTGCACCCCAGTCGGGTTGAGGTGCTTCAACTCCAGGCCCCACTCGTTGAGGAGCCCGCGCAGGAACCAGTGCGCAGGGTACCCGAACCCGCGCTCGTGGAAGGTAAGGAAGGAGACGACCTCGTCGGCCCAGGGTTGCGAAACAACCTCCCCCGACGTGGGAGCTCTCCAGTGTGCCACCTCCTTCGACGGAAGCAGCCTATTCGCGGCAAAGTCGGCCAGCACGGCCTCATCCACGTTGGAAGGCCTCCAGTTCGACATCACACCTCGGATTTACGAACGAATCTGTGAGTTTTTTTCTCTCTCTCGCTCTGCCCTCCTCTCTCTTAGAAACCGCCTCGACACGCGAACAAGTTTGGCAAAAAGAAGGAAGGAGAAACGGCAGCGGTTGAAGAAAGGCGAAAGAACAGAAAGAAAACCCTCTCCTTTTCTCCTATTTAATGCGAAAAGGCGTGCGGCGGGACGGGGCCTTGGCTGACGGGACGCGGCCTGCCCAACGGGACGTGGCCCTGGCTGACGGGACGCGGCCTACCCAACGGGACGTCGCCTGGCTAACGGGACATGGCCTAGGCGGGGCCCACCACTACCGTAACCCGAGCATGGGAAACGAGGCGCAACCACACACAAATGACCCTCCGCCTTCCCAAGTACGGTTTGGAGGGGCCCACCGACGGAATTTCCATCGAGGAGAGGCCAGCGGGTCACCCGAGTCGATTGGACGGCTGCCGAGAGACAGGTAAAGAGCAGTGGGATGCCCCATGCGGGTTATGCCGACTCCGTCACGAACGACGGACCCGGATTTCAGTCGGACATATCCGATAGGAGCTCCCCGAACCCGTCACTCGAGCTATCGAGGTAACTTTACCAACCCCCGTTTTACTTTTCCAGTACATAAGCATTCATTCTCATGCATGCATTCATACATCCAAATCATTGCATATGCAATCATTGCATCGAAACGCTTCGCGTCGCGTCACGAAGCGGTAGTCGTCTCATTCGATATGAGCGGCAACCGATCGGGGTTCGAAGGCCGGCCCGCGAAGGGCTCGAGGCTGCCTCGCGTAAAACAGAGCCAGGGAAGAAAACGTAGATGGGCCCCAGCGGCCCTCGCCCGATCCGCTCAAAAGCGGACATGGTCATCTCAACCTTCTCGTCCGATCCAAATTTCACGACAATTCGGCAGAAAAGGAAACAACTTGATCGAAAAGTATGCTCAGTTGCCAGAAGAAACCAGTGACAACGATGAGTTCATGTGAACCCCAAGTCCCCGATTCCGGAGCAAAGACGACATACCGAGTTCAGGCAGCCAGTGGTTTACCTGTCTGTTGTCCTGCAGGCTGCGTGCTTTTCGGCAACTGCGCCCGCTGCCTCGCTTGACGCTTGCAAACCAGAAAATCCCAGCCTACGCGCACAATGCCGTCCGTCAATGTTGGAACTAGTAAGGTTCTGGGTGTCGAGACGTTGAAACTGGTTGCCCAAAAAAAACTAAGATAAAGCACATTTTTCAACCTCTAACTTACATCGTGCTTCGATTTTCAACCTTAAACTATGAGACCGAGTAGCACACACCTTTCAACTATCAAAACCGAACAAATTTACTACTCTGACGGGTCTCATAAGCGATTTTTCTATTTTCTAATAATAAAAAATCTGATTTAATCTCAAGAAATTCATAATTAATTTATTTTAAATCATAAAAAATATGAAACTGCTTCCATTTTTCCTCTAAAATATCATCTATCTGATTTTTCTATATTTAGAGCTATTCGAATCCTACTTGTTTTGAATAAATAATGAGTGCAACCACGAGCAATAAAGTAATAGGAATATAAATAAACTAATTCTAAATACCTATATATAGAGCATATATAGAGCATAAACAAGTAGATAATATTTTTACAAAAAAAAATAGTACTAATTTCATATTTTTCTGATTTAAAATAAATTATTTATGAATTTTTAGATAGTAAATCAGATTTTTACTATTTTGATAAAAGTAGAAAACCACCTTTAAAACCGGCAGGAGGACCAAATTTGTTTGATTTTGATAATTTGAGGGTGTCTGTTACATGCTTTCGTAGTTTCAGATTGAAAATCAGCCGCGCAAGTTTGATGGTGAAAAATGTGTTTTACTGGAAAAAAAACTACAATACCTTTTTATTTCTCGCGTTGCGTGCACAATGTCAAGGGGGTTTTGCTTTTTTGCCTTATACTCCCTTCATTCCGAATTATAAGTCATTCCAACTTTTTCGGAGAGTCAAGGCATCCCAAGTTTAACCAAAATTATAGAGATTTATGTCATCAAATAGATATACTATAAAAGTATAATTAATGAAGAATCTAATTATACTTATTTAATATTATAAATGTTATTATTTTATATAAATGTTATTATTTGATATTATAAAAAGTTAATATTTTATTATTTTATATTATACATGTTATATAATTAAGTGTTGCTTTCAAGTTAACACTTGGGTTTGGTTAGGTTGAGCACAAGACTTGTCAAACCACTCAACATCGCATCCCTCTTGATGATACGACATACGATATTCAAGACATGAAATAAAATCAAATAAAAACGTCTTAGTTTGCACAACTCTTCATATGTCGTTTCTCCACAATATATATTCACAATGGTTGCAACCAGTTTTGTTTCAATATTTGACCAAGTTCTTCTTGAGCATACGACTTGAACCATTTTAACACATATAGGTTCAATTCAAGGCTTCAACTCATCTCAATTCTTAAATCAACAAGGATTTCTCACATTGCATGACTCCTCATGATTTGATTAGTGCTCAGATCAACACAAGTACTTGCTTCTTCACGTTGGCCATGGTCCCTCCGCAGTCAAGTTATCGCTTGTCCTTCACCTTTACTTTGTCCCTTGAAGCCATTTCCTTGAGCATTCCGTTAATTTCATTTCTTCAATAACATGACTCTTCTTGAATATTTTCTTTTATTTCAACCTTGAGATCAATCAAGATTCTATATTGTCTTTGCTTGAAATACTATGACCTTGATCAACTTCCTCTTATGAATACCATCCATATGATCAAGTAATCGATCATCACAATTCCCTTTGATTCACACTTTTTTTTACATATAAAACATCCATGCTGAGTGATTTTCCAACTCTTTATCTTATACAAGCAAGCTGATATTGAGAGCATATTACACCCCTTATATCTTGTCTTTGTAATTTTTTTCTTACCCTTTATTCACACTTGATTATAGTTCAATCTCGATTAATACCAATGAACTATCAATTATATTTTTTTCGAGGAACTATCAATTATAACTGGCTCTGACGAATTCAGGTAACCGCACGATAAATTCTCTGTCTCGGTTCAGCACACATGTATGTTTGCTACTAGTTTTTAAAATTGCTAAATAAATTATTTTATTTTTTGAATAAGCTGCCGCTAAATAGTTCCATGTTCGCTTGAGCTACTTTTCAGTCATGAAACATTGTTTTCTCTCACAACATTTCAGCATAAGTATCAACATAAGCTAAATTTCAGCATAAGTGAACAGTCGCTAGCCTTTTGGGACCATCTTCCTTCCCTATCAGCGCCATTTTTATTACGTGCCGGTCCCGATCCGTGCAGGCCTGGCGGTCCCGGATTGGATCGAGCGGAGCTTCATGCTGCTGCTTCCGGCGCCGGGAGCCCACACAGCCAAGAAGTCACAGTCCCAGCGCCACTGCCGGGTGCCGTGGCTGGCGTCGCGACAACGGCGCCTCGCTTCCGCGAAGCTTCGCGTGTCGATCGGCCAGGGCCGACCACGCATCCACGGCTCCACGCCCTCGCGCTGCCACTCGCCGTCTGGCCTCCGGCCCCCGGGAAATTTTGCCCAGGTGACCGACCAGGTCCAAGTCGCGGCAAGCGACAACTTGCAAGTTCTAGTGGGGGTAGCTAAAGAGAGCGACTTCCATTGTGATTTGTGTGGAGAGGAGAGGAGACGAGCGCGCAGTAACACCTGGTTGGTTGATGCTAATTAGTCAACTCTACTCTTGACCCTGCGTCTGGACCCGCGCGGCGGACGCATCACGGCCGTCCCACGGCATACGGGCGGTCAGCCCGGGGAACGGAGACGGACTGCGAAGGACTGCTGCCTCTCCGTTCTCCAGCGTGCCCCAGACGTCCAGCCAATGGTAAAAACCCGAGGCTACCCTTCCATCTCCATTCCATATCTCCAACATTAACAAGGGTATTTCAGTCCTGAAATCACGTATAAGTACCTGCGCTCACCGAAGTCACCACGCTGCGGACACCCAAACCTTCCGCGAAACCACAGCTCGCTCAGTTCGGTGAGCGCTCTCAACCATCAGACATGGGCGCCGGCAACGGCACGGGCCCCAAGACGAACGAGGGGACGATCCCGTGCAACCAGAGTCCCGGCCATGCGGCGCTGGACGGCTTTGGCCCGTTGCCCAGAGTTAGTTCATGCTTGTATATGTTGATATTAGGAACTATTAAATAGTTTAAAGAATGCTTAATATTGTTAAGCAAATAATTATAGAATTTTTGGTGGTAAAATGGTAATAGCTTTAGACCTAAAGTTTTTATAATAATTTCATTGTATTATTATGTGCTCACCGTAATTTTTATAGTCTTAGAATGGCCTAAGTCTTAGGGTAGTGGGATGCTCCTT